TCCAGCTACCTTTGTAAGGTTTTATTTCCTCAATGGGGTGGTTATCGTTCTCGACACCTTTTCATATCTCTGAACTCCCCCTTACAAGCAGCAATGTGTTAGGCTGAGTGAAGAAGTCAAGCACAAGCGTGTAATACTGATGACTCCATGTATATGAACCTGTACTCATTCCCTGCGTACAGGTTCCTGTGGTACCTTGTCTCAAGGACAATGTACCACAAACTGGGAGGCTTAAGCAACAGAACTGTGTTCCCTGGGAGTTCTGGAGGCCAGAAATCTGAAATCAAAGTGTCAGCAGGGCCGTGCTCCCGCTGAAGGCTCTGGGAGAGCATCCTTCCTGCCTCTTCCAGCTTCTGGTGCCTCCAGGTGTTCTTGGCTTGTGGCCGCATCGCTCCAGTCTCTGCCTCCCTGGTCCCATCCTCCCCATCCTGTCCTTGTGTCTCGAATCCCCCTTTGCCCCTCCCTTATAAGGACCCTTTTTACTACATATGTGAGGGCATTTAAGTCCATCTGATAATCCAGATGATCTCCCCACCTCGAGAGCCTTAACTTACTCACACCTGCAAAGACCTTTTCCAAATAAGGGCACATTCACAGCTTCCAGGGAGTAGGACTTGATATCTTTGGGGAGCCATTATTCTACCTATCATAGTTCTATTGAAAAATATTGTATGGGCCGGCCCCGTGGCTTAGCGGTTAAGTGCGCGCGCTCCACTACTGGCGGCCCGGGTTCAGATCCCGGGCGCGCACCCACGCACCGCTTCTCCGGCCATGCTGAGGCCGCGTCCCACATACAGCAACTAGAAGGATGTGCAACTATGACGTACAACTATCTACTGGGGCTTTGGGGAAAAAAAGGAGGAGGATTGGCAATAGATGTTAGCTCAGAGCTGGTCTTTCTCAGCAAAAAGAGGAGGATTAGCATGGATGTTAGCTCAGGGCTGATCTTCCTCACAAAAAACAAGAAGAAAAATATGTTTTTAAAATGTTTCCCCATCCTCAGTCAAGTCATCCAATAAGTCATCCCCCAGGAGGACACAGCATATCTTCGTTGGCTATGCGCAGCCCTGACCCCTCCTTGGACCCTGCTATGGAAAGCCTCCACTTGGAGTGTTATCTCTGGGGTAAAGCCTGCTCTTTCACGAGGGACCCGGGAGACGGGGCTGTGAGGGACTCCCTGCCATGGCTCAGTGGAGCGAGGCCCCCCACGTGCCCGGGCGCAGGTCTGGTAGGAGCCTCACTCTTAGAGACCAATAGCTGACGACCAAGGAGCTGGCCGTGCCCAGAAGGCACAGGCAGCTGTACCAGGAGTGCTGTAGATGTTGGGAAGATGCAGAGAGGAGGAAGCCGTGTCAACAGGAGGCTCGTCCTGGAAGGCCTGCTGCTCCGTGTAGCAGCCTCTGAAGGAGATGGCCAGGGACACGTTGGAGGCAGCTTCTGAGCCCCACGGCCCGACCCAGCCCAGCCAGAAGGCTCATAAAGGAATATGACATGGCTGTCCCAAGGGCAATTCTCCAGACAGGTCACAGGCCATGTTCACAGGGGTCCCTCGCCTTCAGAGGGGCTGTAATTCACGTGTAGAAGTAGGGACCCCTCAGGGCTCCTGTTTTCAGAGTGTTCTGCAGCAAGGCTGAGGGGCTACCAGGGAGGTTTGATCCCACCAGCCTCACAGTGCAGACCCTGAGGTCGGGGCCAGGCCGGGTGGATGGAGAGGGGGTGGCTCTGAGCCCCACACTGGCCACCGTTGTCATACTGTCTACTCATTGGTACCCAGGGGCCAGGTCATGAAACTGTCATGTTAAACATTGTTAAATATTAGCATTGACACTGAAAAGTAGACTGTGGACCCATCCAGGAGTCTTGCAATTACGAAATGAGGATACTGGCCACCAGAGAGGATTCTGTTTCATCCATCTGGTTGTTGGCTCCCAAAAGCCTAACATGGGGACTATTGAGTTTCAAAAATTTTCCCAGGACATTTTCCCCTTTCTCCAGAAACTAGGTTTTACCAACTTTGTGTAAAAAGATCATTCTTCATCAGAGTTATACACAGATAGATGTCCGATAGTTCTAGATGGCTTCTAATGAAAAAGAGCAGGCCCCTGCCGCCGCTGCTCACTCCAGGGGCAGCCACTCTCAATTCCCTGGCTGCTTCTCACGGTGTTTGTGCCCATATTTCAAAGAACTTGCTTATGCTACTTTTTTCCAAGTACAGATATTATCTGGCAATGTCTGTAGAGGATGAAGGTGCATCTCCCCTGCATGCCCCTTCCCACTAGTACGAACATATTTCTGTTCTCTGTTCCTCCCGATATAGTTTATAATCATTTTGGTGTAGATCAATATTCAGTGTTCACATGACTACAATTAAGCAACTATTATTCCTAGCTTAGTCGTGTTACGTACTGTAATTACATTTCTTATAGAGCCTTCAAATTGTCTCTTTTTCGTTTGTGATGTTTTCTAGGTCTTAATGTAACCCCCAACTGTTGATAGGTTCGTAGACCTCTGCTAATCTTTGTTTCCTTCCCCCACTAGAAAGATTGCTCCTGGAGCCCCTGTCCTAAACGATCTATGGCTGCCCAGCCGTGTTGTCCTGGGATCTGCCTTTCCCGTCATTCTGGGGCTGCCCTTCATGATCTCTCCTGGTAGAGCCCATTCCCTCGCTTTACTCCCTCATTTTGGTGGAGTGCATCTTCCAGTGCTTTCCTAGAGGCCACTTGCCTTGGTGGAAATGTCCGTATACCCCCTCCACTGTTAAGGGAGAGTGTGCTTGCATCAAGGATTCTGGCCTGCGTCCCTTCCCTTTCAGATGTTTCCAGGCTCTGCTCGCTTGTCTCCCAGGCTCTACGTGCTAGAGATCATCAGACTGGATGCCCTTCTCCTTCCCAAGACATTCTATGTGAGCTGGGTTTCTCCACCCTGCTCTGGAACCTCTTTTTGGGGTCTTCTTGTCCTAAGTGATCCAACATTTCACGATGACGTTCCCTGTTTGAGTCCTTCTCCATCCATTGTGCTGTGCCCTGGGTGGACCCTCTCGATATGCAAAATCATGTCTTTTAGTTTGGGACAGTTTCTTGACTTATTTCACTGGTGATTTCCTTTCCTAAGTTTTCTCTTTTCTTTCTGGAACTGTTACTAGTCAAATACTGGAATCCAAGAAGCTCAAAGAATTCAAAGCACAAGAAACATGAAGAAAAATATGTCAGGATACATCATGATTTCCAAAACAATATTGAAAATGAACAAAGCCGGAGGACACACACTTCCTTATTTCAAAACTTACTGCAAAGCCACAGTAATAAAAACAGTGTGGTACTAACATGGGGATAGACATGTAGGTGAATGGAACAGAATTGAGAGTCCAGAAATAAACCCATACTCTATGGCCAATTGATTTTCAACAAGAGTGCCAAAACCAGTCACTGGGGAAAGAATGTCTCTCAACAAGTGGATATTTACATGAAAAAGAATGAAGTTGGACCCATACCTCACACCATGTATAAAAATTAACTCAGAATGGATAAATGAGCTAAATCTAAGAGCTAAAACTATAAAACTCTTAGAAGAAAACAGGGGTAAATTTTCATGGCCTTGGATTTGCATTCTTAGATGCCACACCAAAAGCATAACAAAAGCAAAAAACAGATAAATTGGACTTCATCAAAATCTAAACAGTGTTGTGCACCTAAGGTCATTATCAAGAAAGGGAAAAGATGGGCTAGCCCTGGTGGCCTAGTGGTTAGGTTCAGCGTGCTCTGCTTGGGCAGCCTGGGTTCAGTTCCTGGGCACAGACCTACACCACTCCTCTGTCAGTGGCCGTGCTATGGCTGTGGCTCACGTACAAAAGAGGAAGATTGGCAGCAGAGGTTAGCTCAGGGTGAATCTTCCTCAGCAAAAAGTAAAGAAAGGGAAAAGACACTCCATAGAATGTGAGAAAACATTTGTAAATCACATATCTGATAAAGAGCTAGTATACAGAATATATAAAGAACTCCTACAACTGAACAACAAAAAGACAACCCAATTTAAAAATGGGCAAAGGACTTTATAGACATTTCTCCAAAGATACACAAATGACCAATAAGCACATGAAAAGATGCTCAACATCATTAGTCATCAGGGAAATGTACATCAGAACCACAATGAGATACCACTGCACACCATCATGACAAAAAAAAAAAAAAAAATCTGGAAAATAACAGGTGTTGGCAATGACACAGAGAAATTGGAACTTTCATGCATTGCTGGTGGGAATGTAAAATGGGGCTGTGGAACAGTTTGGTGGTTCCTCAGAAAATTAAACATAGATTTATCACATGACCCAGCAAATCCAGTCCTGGGTATATACCCAAAAGAATTGAAAACAGGTGTTCAAACAGATACTTGTGCATGAATGCTCATAGCAGCACAATTCACAACAGCTAAGAGGTGGAACAACCCAAATGCCCATCAGCAGATGAATGGATAAACAAAATGCAGTATAGCCATATGATGGAATAGTATTCAGCCATGAAAAGGAATGAAGTACTGGCTCATGCTACAATGTGAATGAAGCTCACAATCATGCTACGTGAAATAAGGCAGACACAAAAGGCCACGGATTGTAGGATTCCATTTATATGAAACATCCAAGATAGGTCAATGACAGAAAGCAGAGTAGTGGTTGCCAGGAGAGGAGGGGAGAGGAGAAAGGGGAGGGACTGCTTAACGGGGTGATGAGATGTCCTGGAACTTGATGGAGGTGGTGGCTGTACAACGCTGGGGATGTGAGAAACGCTGCTGGATTGTACATTTTAACACTGTTCATTTTAGGTTACGTGATTTCACCTCAATTAAAAAACTCCAAACACTCAAGCCACTGGAACCAACCCAGCCCCGAGCGGACAGCCCTGCCGTGAGAGGGACCACGGAACTGACCCACACTTCCTCAGCCCCCTCCGCGCTGCTCCCCATCCTGATTCCTCTCCACGGAAGGCACCCGACCCCTTTAACCAACCTGCCCCAGCCCCTGCACAGGGTCATCGCCTGGCTGAGTTCTTTTAATGAGATTTCCTTGTTGAAACATTGGAAGAGATACTTAAAGAAAAACACATCTGACCTAATAAACCATAAATAGATTCATTCAGGTAGCCAAGCGTTACTAAAAGGAAAACTGGAGCACTCGTGCTGGCCCCAGGCTAAGCACCCCGCACCCACTCCTCGCCACCCGTCATGCAGAGCAATGCCCAGCGCCAGGCAGTCAAAAATCGCACGTCTGTTCGTTGAGTGTGTGTGAAAGCAAAAGACTGGCCCCCGAGTGGACGGCGTGCAGGGCGTCAGGGCTGCGCCGCTGCCCCGGCAGCTCTGGGCTCCACGGCACCTCCTGACTTCCTCTTCCGGTCTCGCTCCTGGGCAGCCACAAAGTTCAGCAGGTCGATGGCGGTGACGACCCCGAACACCATCTGCCTCTTACTGGCCTTCCCGTTGCTGTGGTCTGGGGAGGGAACAAGGAGCGGGCTTAGAGGCGCCTCCGTGGGGAGCTGATGGAGGCAGCGCGCCCACCCCGCTGTCAGAGGCTGAGCCCCAAACTGCTGCCCTGGGGGCCTGGCCCAGGCAGGGAGGGCTCCGAGCCCCTGCCCTGAGCCTGCCTGAGTGTCCACAGGCACCTGGGTGCCCTGGGAGCCCGGGGTGGCACCCAGGGGAGCCCAACGACATGCCGTATACTCCTGACACGAGCTATGTGGGAGACAGCAGGGTCCTGACTTCTCTGAACTGTGCCCACCAGCTAGATGCCTGAGGGTCTCATTGATTCAAAAGAGCCGGTGGATCTTCCTTGGTGCCCAAGGCTCAGGTCTAGGCATGCAATTCCGACACCTCTCACACCCATGAACTATGTCAGCTCACATCTCTGGCCTGTGATTGTCTTAAAACCCACGCCCTTCTCTTAGGCTCAGAATGAATGCCAGCTCCTGGCACCCACACTGTGCAGCTGACGAGCAGAGAGGGTTGTGGGCATGGTTAATTTTATGTGTTGACTGGGCCACAGAGTGCCCAGATATTTGGTCAAACATATTCTGAGTGTCTTTGGATGAGACCAACATTTGACTGGGTAGACTGAGTAAAGCAGATTGCCCTCCCCAGTGTGGGTGGGCCTCATCCAATCAGTTGAAGGCCCAGATAGAACAAAAAGGCTGACCCTCCCTGAGTAAGAGGGCATTTTTCCTGCCTTTGGACTCTAACTGAAACACCAGCTCTTCCTGCCTCTTGACCCTGCTCACTGCCCCTGCAGATCTTGGCTCTTGCCATCCTAACCATGTGAGCCAGTTCCTTATAATGGGTCTCTTCCTCTATATACGTATCCTATCTGTTCTGTTTCTCTGGAGAGCCCTGATGGGTACAGCTGTCGTGATGCACACAGAGGGCCAGGCAGAGCTGGGGAGCGAGTGGGAAATACCTGGATGGATCCTGTTCTGCCTGACCCCATATCCCAGCACCTCCATGGCCATCTGTCCCTCAGGCCTTTGCAGGCAGAGGTCGCACAGGTTGGGGTGGGCCTACTCGGAGCACTTCACAGAAAAACAAGGGGAACCCAGCAGGGACCAGCTACCTGCCTTTCAGGGACTTGTAGGCAAAGGGGCAGCTTTGGAGAAGCCTGTCCAGGGCGGCGTCTGTGCTGCGTGGCCCCGCGGAGGAGGGCAGTCTGTAGGAGCCTCTGCAATCTGGCCCTACAGACCCCTCCGGGAGACCCTTGTCCAGAGCTGGGTCGGCAAACCTTCTGTAAAGGGCCATACAGTCTCTGTTACGACCATTCAGCTCTGCCAACACAGCCTGGAGAGCAGCCTGGACAGCGGTATCTAGCATGGCTGTGTCGAGGCAAACTTGATTTATGGACCCTGAAATGGGAACGCCTATCATTTTTTCTGGAGATGTTCAAATACGAGTAAACGTGAAACGAAGAGGAAGAGCCCTCCCACCCAAGCTTGGGGGTCTGGGACCCTGGACACCCTCCTTTGCCCTGGGAGGCTGCGGTTCTGACCGCAGAGCTACCCCTGAGGGAGTGGGACAGCAGGGCGTACATACGTGCAGCCCCCCACCACTCCGGACCAGGCCTGGTCCCGCGCTGGGTCTAGAGCCAAGGACGGGAGAGAGGTAGACACGGGGCCGCCCCAGGCCCCAGGACCAGCCCTCGGCGGGGCGGTGGGCAATCTGCAGGACCCCTCCCAATTCTCGTGATTTCTACAACCCTCGTCCTCACGCAGAACCAGAATGACACCCTGGCCTGCAGAGAGGTGGTGAGGAGGCCCGGGAAGCGGCTTTGCGAGCAGAGTTATGAAGCACCTCGGGGACACGGCGGCCAGCACTCCCGTCCCCACTTACACTTACACTGGATCTGCTCGTGGACCACCAGGGCAAAGTGGTCCATTTCCAGGATGTGCGAGAGCTTGCCCAGTGGGTCGGTCAGGAGAATCTGGAAGAGAAGCCTCGGTCAGCGCTCACCTGTGCAGCCCAGCCAGGCCCTCAAAAGAAAGGAACACAAGGCAACAGGACAGGACAGGCATCGCTCCAGAAGGTTCTTTTGCTGATTTAGAAACTGCAGGCCCACAAGTCACGCCAAGTGACCCAGAGGCCCTGCTCCTTCCACCAGGTCTAGGTGGGTCCACGTGTGGCCACCCCCTTGGGAAAGGCTGCTGGACTCCTTGCTCCCCCACATCACCAGCGCCCAGGCTGCAGGACCCGCTCCAGCTCACTCTCAGGAGAGACCCTGGAAATGGGGAGGGCGACCCCAGGGCCCCTCTCTCAGCCCAACTGCCATGGAACCGGGAAGTCACAGTGACAAGTTGCCCAGAGGGAAGATGTTTGCTAACAGGGAGAGGCCAACATGGCCCCAATTTTTGTCACTGTGATCTTTCAGAAATCAGTCCGAGGAGGCTGTTCAGCGGTTCCAGCCTGCTCGGCCCTGGGGAGGTGGTTAATCTCATTCCCGGCATTCCACACACACAGGGCTCGGGCAGCAGGTGGATTCAGGCGAGGACAGAAACCATCTCCTCCTCTGGGACTCAGGTTTAAGTGACATCTGCAAGTTGAACTCATTGGAGGCCATAACAGAGATCTTTCTGGTTTTGAATGATCCAAAGGGGAAGACAAGAGCAGGAGAGCAGTAGGTGGGGACAGAGGAAGTAGCGTGCGCGTCCCCCTCTCCCCCCCAGAGCTCTGAAAGTGATGGGCAGCCTGGGACTCCACCCGTAGAATTTTCTGACCACCAGTCACAGCGCAAGGCTCTTAGAAGTGTAGTTACAGACGGAGGGTGTTGGCGGCCCAGCCCCAGGCGACAACTGGTGTTAACAATGGCGTCGGGTCATCTGTTTCCTGTCCCAGAAAAACCCTTTATGGGCCTGGAGAGTCCTCCGCCTCCATGGCCTTCACGGCTGTCAGTTCCCTGGGACGGGTCACAGGGCTGGACGACCCCCTCCCAGGACGTGGTGAGGGGCTCCTCATCAGATGCAGGCTGGACAACCCCTGGGGTGATTTCAAGCACAGCCCCAGAACCTAACCAGGTGCCCTTTCTATTTTGACTCTGGGGACAGAGGCAATTTCCCGTGAAAAGCTGTGGCTCACAGGGCCAGGGGGAGGAGTCGGCAGGGCCTTACACTGCGTGATGGCGCGTTTGGGAGGCTGAGGCCCACTCAGCCTGTGCACAACGGCACTGGTCTGCGGAAGCCAGCTTCCCCCAAACGCTTGCTTTTAGTAGGTCAGAAGACCACAGGGCTCAGGATTCCTCCTCCCCGCCGGGAAAACCCGGGGGTCAGGGGAGTCACGGCTCCTGGGGACCTCCTTGTGCCTCTCACTGCCAGGCGGCCAGACCCCCGAGGGGGTGGCAGGAAGGGCCAGCCCTGGGCAGGTGGGTGTGCCCAGGAGATGGGACCCACTCAGGTTTTATACCGTGGTACCTGGATTCTTCTGGGGACAGGATTTGGAACAAGGAAGCCTGGGACCCCGGCTGAAGGACATCCTGCCTCCTCTGTCTGTACCTGCCCCTCGGTGCCCAGAGCAGAGCAGGCACACTGTGGCCCCACCCAGCCTCTCAGTGGCAGGACATCAAAGCCCCCGCGTTGAGGCCCCAAGGGTCTTGACAGCACTAGAGGCCAGTGGGGCCCGGGGGCTCGGCTACGCCTGGGAGGAAGGGTGTCGCTGGAGGTGTGACTTGGCCTCCGACAGAGGGAACAAAATACAGACTCGATGTTAGCTGTGGCTGCCAGCTCTGCCCTTTGGCCCTCAGGCTCTGCCAGCTTGAAAACAAAACAGAAAATCGAGGAACCCACTGGAGCAGAGACCCGTCCTGGTAGCGAGAGACAGAGGAGGCAGGAGGAGCCCAGCTCACGGGAGGCCAGAGCACGGGCTCAGCCCTTCCCTGAGGGAGGGGCCGGGCACACACACTGGAGAATCAGCACAAAGGCCAGAGACACAAGGGAACAGGACACAGCCACGGACAGGAAGGGACAGTGTGCACGCCACACTGTGGGTGGATTTGAAAACGCCGTGCTGTGTGCAAGAAGCCAGACAAGGGGTACACACATAGGACTATGTGTGCACGAGTCTGGAGGGCGCACACCATCCACAGGAACGGGAAACACATCAGCCATGGCCTGAGAGGGGGTCAGGGATGGGCAGGGGCTCAGAAGGTCACGAGGAAGACTTTGGGGACCACAGATACGTTCGCTCTTGACTGTGGTGATGGTTTCATGGGTGTACATTCATGTCAAAATCAGGAGAGATAATGGGCCTCTCCCATGGGGCTGGGCCTGGCAGGGAGGGACAGGCCGCACCTGTCTCTGTGGTCTCTCAAGCTTCGGGGAGTTAGAGGAGATGGGGTGAGGGGGTCTGCAGGGACCATGCGAGAGTGATGGCAGCAGGGGTGGAAATGGCGAGAAATACCTGGATTCTGGTGACATTTCAGCTGTGCGTGTGACGGGGAACGAGGAAAACCAAACTCCTTCCTAGATTTGGGCTCCACCCCTTAGCCTTTCAAATATAAAACAGCCAAAAAGCCCCCACTGCCACTCACGGGCAGGTCAGAGGGGAACAAGGTTGTGGAGTGTCAGGGGCCACTGGGACCAGGGGGAGGGGATGTCCTGCCTCCACCCACCCTCAGGGACACGGACAGCAGCGTCCAGGTGGCTCTGCCCAGGCCCAGCAGAGGGTGACCATCATTGTCTCAGGACAACCATGGGATCTGATCAGCCCCAGCACAGCAATGGGTGACGCTAGTACTTCCAGAACATTCTAGTTCTTATTAAATAATTAGGCATGCCAGGTATTCTTACATGAATGCATGCCCAGGAAAAAATTAGGGCCAAACGTTGTGGGAAGGATCACGCTGGCTGATGCCCAACGCAGCTGAGATGATGGTCTCCGGGCTGGGCCTGCTTGCGTGGCGGAGATATGGCCGACGCGGGCGAGCCCGCCCCGATGGGAGCCCTCCCCACCTGGGCTTCTCCTCTGCAAAACTGGGGCGAGTTCTCAGATTTATGGGTTTGATGGGGGGCAGCCAGCAGGGGCCCTGCAGACCCCCCAGCGGTGCCGAGGGTTGGGGACCCGGCCCCCTGCCTTCCAGGACAGAGCCGGGTCTGGCACCTACCGCTCTGGCGAAGCGGATCTCGTACCTGTTTGAACTGCCTGTAGATGACTTTGCGAACCTGGTCTGCTGGCTGAACCTTCCCAGCGAGCAAGGATGACAGCATGTTCCCCAGAGTCACCATCCCCAGGATCACCCTGCAGCAGCAGGCAGGGGGCAGGGGGCAGGGGGCAGAGGTCAGCACAGGCGCCTCTCCCCAAACAGCAGAACGTGCGCGCACGGCTGCCCTGAGCGTCAGTGTGGTCTCTGGCCAAACTCGGAACTCCTCTGAGAATTCAACAAGTATCCGCCGAGTGCCTCTGTGTGGCAGGAACACAGCAGTGACAACGCCCTGCCCTTGGTGCTGCCCGCCCAGTGCGGGGAGACGGTAAACTGAGCCCCTTGGGTATTTCTGTTCTGACAGGTGTCGAGGGTGACCAACCCGCTGGGGTGCTGGGACACAGGACTTTTGGGGCCAGCACGGGGACAAGTCCTGGGAGAACCTGCATGGTTGGTCACTGGGGCTTCCACTGTTCGACGTCCAGAGCGAGGCCAGTTATCTGCCACCCCCTCCCGCACACACACCGAGAGCGCAGCGGGGTGGGACAGAGGCGTTAAGGCCCAAAGGGTTACTACGGCCAGCCCCCCGCCCTGGCCAGTTCCCAGGGACAAGATGTCCAACGGGCAGTCTAAGGCTCTGGACATCCCTATGCAAAGTGACCAAGGTCAGCCGGTCAGCTGTGGGGTCCACATGGCTGCCCCGACCAGCGTGGCCGATGCGGAGGAGCAAGGAGCCCAGGTGGGCAGAGCTTGGGCGGGGGCCGAGACTGACCCTGACTCATCGACCACGGGCGCCTGGTCGAAGCCCTTCTCTCGGAGGATCTCGATGGTGTGCTCACAGGTGACCGTGGGCAGCACTGTCAGCGGAGCTGACAGGCTCAGCTCCTGGACTCTGAGGTGCCACCACCTGAGGGAAGAGGGCAGGGCAGGGAGGGCGTGAGCCAGGAGACGGGAGTCAGGGATAGACGCTCTCACAAAAGGGCAGCGTCGCAGGGGGAGACCGCAGGGACAGCCAGCCAGGTGTGGGACACAGCACAGGTGCCCTGGGTCCCAGGGATAAGGGTCCCGCAGCCACACATGTGGATTTCGGGGAGTGGTCTCTGCTCAGAGACGTCCTTGCCATGGCTTCTTTTTTTTTGTTTTTTGGTGAGGAAGATCATCCCTGAGCTAACGTCCGTCGCCAATCTTCTTTTTGCTGAGGAAGATTGGCCTTGGGCTAACATCCGTGCCCATCTTCCTCTACTTTGTATGTGGGACGCCTACCACAGCATGGCTTGACAAGCGGTGTGTTGGTGTGCACCCAGGATCCGAACCTGTGAACCACTACACCACGGGGCCAGCCCCACTCACCACGGCTTCTTCACCGTGAGGTCCTCCTCCTTCAGGAAGCCCTTCTGCAGCATCCATTTGTCGCTCAGGAACTTGGACCTGCAGGCGTCAGAAGTCACCAGGGCCTGGACAGAGGGCCCACTACCGCCTCGGCCCACATTGAGGGGCACATAGTTCTCAGAGGAAGCCCAGTATGCCTCCCCCGACCCCATGGGTCCAGCAGAGACCCTGAGTGGCTGGCTGGGGGCTCCAAGGAGAGGCCTGGGAGCCAGACTTTAGAGACACCAACTGGGAACTGCAGGTCAATGGGGGCATCTGGTCAACCAGAGTACAGGGGCCTGTGGCTGAAGGAGCTCACAGCACAGAAGGTTCTGTCCAGGGACCTTTGCCATCAAGCCCCCGGGGGCTGCCTGGGCAGCCTCTTCCCCAGCCATCCTCTTGTCTGCTCTGACAGAGGGAGCCCGCCCACCCGGGGTCAAAGGACACCAGAGCAGGCCTCGGCGACTGCAGGGACCTGGCCTCAAAGGGCCTCTGAGGACCAACGGAGTGGGGAGCAGAGAGGACCCGCCACCCCTAAGCCAAGACATGCTGAGCGAGAACACACTCATTCACAAACACCCACTCCATGTCTCACACTCACTCCATCTCACACTCACACTCCGTCTCACACTCACTCCATCTCACATTCACTCCATCTCACACACGCTCCATCTCACACTCACTCCATCTCTCACACTCCATCTCTCACACTCACTCCATCTCACACTCCATCTCTCACACACACTCCATCTCACACTCACTCCATCTCACACACTCACACTCCATCTCTCACACTCTGTCTCACACACACTCATTCCATCTCACATACAAACCACACTCATACTCACACAGACCTCCACACTTTGTTACACTCACTCTCACACATGCTCTCACACACACACGTGTGCACACACAGCAGGCCAGCTGAGCACAAGGGGAAATGGTTGTCCTCATGCACTGAGTGGGGTAGGCGGGCAGCCCAGGCTCAGGGCAACCTGGCAGTGGGCACCCCAATGTGAACCACCCCACACTTGGGAACCCAAATTGGGGCACCCACCAGGGGCAGCGGAGCTCACTGGAGATATGTAGCCCCCACAGCTCCTGGCCAGGGAGGCAGCCCTGAGGGTGCGGGCAGGGAGGAGGGGGGGTCTTTAGATCCTCACCCCTCACTGCCCCAGAGGCCTACTAGAGCAACCTCGGCCCACAGTTCAGCCAGTGACACCGGGCGGCCCATCGGCCCAGGGGACGGGAACTCAAAGCAGGAGGCCGCAGGCCGCCACGTGGGGAGCTGGGCCTGTGGTCTCGAGAGTCGGGACACAAAGTGCACGAGTGCTCGGCACCGTCGACCCGGAGGGACCCCAGAGGCCGCCCGTCAGCCATATCACAGCAAGTCCCCAGATCCCCCCGCCACCGTGTGGGCGAAGCAGCAGAGCCAGTGGGGGCGGGCAGGCGGGCATTCTTAGGGCGGCTCCGTCCTCGCGCTCCCTCGACTGATGCGCCAGGCCCCGAGCTCTCAGAGGAGCAAGGGGGCCTGGGGGCTGCGACGGAAGCAGAGCTGCCCTCCTCGAGGAGCTCTGCCAGCCATGTCAGCACCGCCACCGTGATCGTGCGCTGGCTGTTAAATGTGTCCAGGAGACCCAAGCCGGGGACAAGGCAGGCTGAGCAGTCAGGAACTCCCGAGCTGGGGAGGGACCTCCGCCCCTCCCGTCCTCTTGCTGTGGATCCTGGGGGAGGCAGAGCAGGGAGCAGCGACAGCTCCCGGGGGGCGCCAGAAGAGGGGGAGGAGCAGACCCCGAGGGGAGAGGAGAGCGCCGCTCACATGTAGTTGCGGACCGAGTCGGGCAGGATCACCACGCAGCGCTGGCCCTCCCGCAGCTCCTGGGCCGCCTTCACGGCCGCGGCCATGGCGCTGCCCGCACTGCCACCTGCGAGAGGGCCGGGAGTCAGGCCTGCAGTGTGTTAGTGCGCAAGTGCGTGTGTACGTGTGTGTGGATGCATGTGTGCACACCCGACATGATCTGGAAGGATCCGCGGGGAACCATCCACAGGGCCTGCCTCTGGGGGGAGGCGCTGGGCTTGGGGTGCTGGGAGGACCCCCACTTCTCACCGTCCACCTACATTCTCCTCTTGTACCACTGAATTTCACATCTGCTCAGGATTTCACAACCAAGCCCTCCCCAAGGAAACACGAAGACCTGGAGCAAATGGGATTCCTCTCAGTGGGGAGGGCTGATGCCGGGGGAGGTGCCACCATGGGGCTTGAGCCCAGAGGCAAACGCCACCAAGACCGACCCGAGCACCAGGGAGGGCCGCGCTGATGGGGCCCCAGCACAGTCGCATGTCAGTGACCACTCACAGCCACCCGCGAGGCAGGCGACACCGTTCCCCACTTTACAAACAAGACGTCCCGGGCCCAGGAGCCTGAGTCAGAGGCAGAGGGACGGATTCCTAGAGGTGGCTGTGCTCTGCCTCGCCCCCATAGCCCCTCTGGGCTGAGTTACAGAGGCATCATGTAGCCCCCAAGAGCGTACCCCACAGGAAAAGGGGCCCTTCCTCCTAAATGATTGTGGTGGGCCCTCCTCCAGCATCGACCACTCAGGCTTAATGTCCCCTGAAGATGGGAACAGGGGACACTCTGAGAACACCACACATCCAACAATTATGATCAAAGTCGCCTTTTCATAACATCATTTTGGAAATTTTTTTTCAATCAAAAGAGGCTTATTTCCAATCTCTAAGTTGGGGCTTGGCTGTCCAGGGACCCGGCCATGCTGAGGGCGGATCTCCTTCCATTTCCTCTGTCCCCACCCCCAATGTGACACAACACAGAGGGACGACGGCACATTTCAAATGACCGCGTGTTATATTCCCTGCATGAGTTTTAAAGTGGATGCGTGCTGCACGTGCTCTCTGTATGTAAGTCCCCTTGATGGAGGTCAAGCCTCTTCCCTCGTCTGTCCTGGACGGGCCTCGGAGCCTCCCAGAGGAAATAGAGCTGGCAGCAGCGTCATCCCGTCTCCTTCCAGCCTCGGAGGCCTGAGTGACGGACACCCTCCAGCCTCTCCCGGCCCCCGGCTGAGAGTCGGAGCCCCGTGGATAGGGATCCCCCACCCCAAGGTAGTGCTGGCCTTCATTGAAAGAAACAAGTGTCCTGAGAGCACTGGCCTCACCCCAAAACCCAACACCCAGATGACGGTGTGGCCAGGACCCTCCTCACGGTGGGGGCCCCCAGAGGCAGACGCTGCTCACCGGGCCCCACGACCTGCTCTACTGGGAGGGCAAAGACAACAGCTGCTGCCTGGCTCTGTCAGGCTGCCGGGGCTCACCTGTGCCCAGACCCCTCGCATCTCCTGCTCCTCCCTTCTCATTCTGTGTCCTGTGCCCCCGTTCTCAGCGAAGGTGTTAAACGTGGAAAACAAAGCACATGGACCGGGGGGACCCCAGGAATATTGACCCTTCTCCGGCCACACTCTGGAAGGGCGCTCGACACCCCTGCACCTCGGCCTCCTGCCCTCGCCTGTGGGGGTGACCCTGCCAATCTGGAGGATAGGCAGGTGGACCTCCTGAAGGGCCAGCGCCCCGCCTGTCTCTGCACCCCGGTCGCCTCCCCCCAGCCCGCCCGCCGCTCACCGCACAGCAGCCCCTCCTGCGCGATCAGCATGCGGGCGAAGGTGAAGGACTCCTCGTCATTGCTCTTGAACCACTTGTCCACAACCTGCGGGCAGGACCCAGGCTCGGGAGGGGCGTGGGCAGCTGGATGGTGGGACCCCACAGCCCGCGTCTGCAACCTCACAGATGACCTCGGTCCAGGTGGCCGTGACCTTCAATGGACGCAGCCCCTCTTCTGGAATCCGGGGCTCACGTCCACAAACCCAGGACTCCGCCTCTCCCAGTTCCAACATATTTTGCACGTAGCAACTAAAACCACCCTCCAGCCCCTCTGCGTGGCCTTATGTCCCTGCAAAGTCAACTCTAGGGTCCTTAAAAAGAGCCTTTTCTGGGGTCCTTACCTTTCCCACGTCCACCTTGCTCACCTGCCCAGCTGCCCGGAGCTCGCTCCCTTTGCAGGGCTCTGACTTGTGCACAATGCTACCCCCTTGTCTTTGCCCAATGGGTCAACAGCACATACTCGATACAGCACTGCACGTCCTAGTCTTGACGTTGGAGACTACGCTTCCTCTGCGTGCTGGTACAGTGCTCACTTTTCTGCTCCCACTCAGCAGGAAAGCCAGGCCAGCTGTGACAGCCAGTAACTGGACATGCCCTGAGGGCCAGAACTGGTCACCTGGCCTGCCCTGCACGGGAAGTGCTTTGGCCCACCCACCGTGCGGTCCAGCACCGTGGGGATGAAGTCATAGCCGATGCCCTCCACCTCGTAGGCTGTCTGCTCCGTCTGGTTCAGCTCCTCGGGCTCTGCCAGGATGGAGCCTTCGGGATCCACCCCGATGATCTGCGGAGTGGGCGGCGTGAGGGCTCAAGTCTGGCAAAAGTCTCACCCGGATGCTCCCGTCTATGATCGAGGCGGCCAATTCCGCCGCTAACAGGTGCCTGTTAATGATCTGCCCGTGGGATGCGGGCCTCGTTCCCGGACCTTGGGGGCAAGACTCGAAACCCAGAAACCTAGGACTGGGCGCCGGGAAGATTACAAGGAAAATGTCCGGCTCAGGGCACTCAAGGGGACAGCCAGGGGAAGCGGCTCCCCAGGGGAGCTCCTCCTGTGCAGGGTGCCCCAGGACAGCCCAAGAGACCACCCCCGGGGGACAGGCAGAGCCGTGGGGACGAGAGGCGGTGCTGGGCACTGTCCTCTTCCTGGACAGCACAGAAACCGTCAGAGGGAGAAGATGCGCTCAGCACCACCAGCCGGGTATTCTTACGAGCCCCTCCCCAGGCCCACTCTCAACCCCAAATCCAGTGCCCTTCCCCGACTCTCAAAGCCCCAAGCGGGGCAGACGCAGGACCTGAACCTAAGAGCTTAGAGCTTCTGGAATGATCCTTGGAGGCCACCCAAATCGACTCTCCCATTTGGGCACCTAGGCCTTGGGTCCCCCGGCCCCTTATCTCCCAGGCAGGTGCAGATACACCGTGTAAGACTCAAGGCTACGTAAGCAGAAATGTCGGAAACAAGAACTTTCAGCTCTAAAGCAGAGGCCATTCTGGGGGCCAACGCCAAGGAGCTTGATGACTGCACCCCCAAATGCGGTTCAGGCCGCAAGTGAGAAACACACGCCCGTCCAGCCCCCTCTCCCGGGCAGGGCCCACATGCCTCCCCTGGCCCCGGGGCCCCGGCTCACTCACTTTGCATCCAGGGCACTTCTCCTTTAGCTTCCTGGCAACGCCCGTAATGGTGCCACCCGTGCCCGCTGAAGCCACCAGCATGTCCAGCTTCCCTGGTGGGGGAGAGCCCCCGTCAGGGAGAACATTCTCAGGCCGTAACCCAGCCAGCCCACAACTCTCAATAGTAAGTGAAAACATACTCAACCAAAATGAAGGCAGGTTATCAAAAAGTTCAAAATAAAAACTATTCTCAAATGTCAACAGCCTCTCATCATAGTCCTTTATCTTTAAAAAGCATTCATAGTAACAGGGACCCAGTGAGTTTCATTTCAGTCTTTGCTAAACATAACCACTGAAATCCCTGTGAACCCATAAAGCCTGTCTGGAGGCACGGTCGCACGGCGGGGACAGGGCACAGTGGCTCAGGAAGAGCCAGGGTCTTCACTACGCCCCTTCTTATGCTGTTTGGTTTTGGAGGATGCGAATAAGAGAAGTGAATTATAAAAGGAAATGGAATAAGGCACTCAGGCTCGGCTCAGAAATCATCTGGGCTCTCCCGCTGCCAGGTGCCAGCTCAGGCATCCTGCAGACAAGTCGGCGCGGGCACCCCTGCCAGGGCAGAAGGGCTGTTTTTGCCAAATGGAGGAATTCTCACACATAAAACCCGGGTGAGCAAATGCCTGTACTCTGCCGCCTGGCTCCTGGGCGTGGAATGAGCCTGCACTTTTAAGCTAATGTCAACACCCAGTGCCCACACCAACACCAAACAGGAAGCCAAGGGTGCCAGCCTCCCTGCACCTTCTCCCTAAAGTCTCTCAGGGAAACAGCCCATCAGAAAACATCACAACCCCCACGGGCCTCGGCGCTGAGTTCGTGGAGAGGTACCAAGGAGCCACAAGTCCATACAGAGAGTAAGCTAATCGTTGATGTCACCCCTCGGGTTCCGGAGATGAGATAACCTGAATGCTGAATCGAACGGCCGGGTTGGGGCTTGATGCCAAGTGTCATTTGGCAACATGAAGCCCTGGCTGTGGCTGGGGCCACCCTCGTTCTCTGCGCTTGGGAGCTCCTACAGGTCTGGAGGACAGTCTGCTGGGTAAATAAATATGACTGCATGATATGTTTGGTGTTATAGGAGAGGCACGGGCAAAGTCCAAGAGAGCTCAACAGAGGGAGGAAACTGCTCTAGGGAAATGCTATATAAAGCATTTCACAGAGAGGGGAACCTCTGAGCTGGGTTTTGAAGGATGAATAGGAGTTTACCAAGGAGAGGGTAAGTGACTTGCTCTCTCCCAGGCAACCAGGGGTAGATGCAGTCAAGAAGGACAGAGGGGTTAAGAGAGAAATACACACCATCACACTGCTGCAGGATCTCCTCGGCGGTGGTGTCGTAGTGAGCAAGGGGGTTGCTGGCATTGCGATACTGAGTGGAAAGAGAGCAAACGGGCGGCGAGTGAGGTCAAATCTACTGAACTGGCACAGCCACGGCACATCAGGCAAACAGCTCAGTGTAAGCCAGAGAGGATCCCAGCAGCTCAGGGCAGAGCGGGCAATGGCACAGGCAGTTTTAGGAACCTCAACAGATGCAAAGCATTAAACCCAGTTCTCCAGAAGGTGTGATCTCTGAATTAACTGAGAAGTGAGATAAGACAGAAGAGCTTCCGGTAAAAAGATTTTTATGCATTTCATGCCTGTAGAGAGCTTCCAGGGTCTTCGGCAAAGGGCATTCCAACCCAGCGCACTGAGCTGAGCCCTCCGAGGCAGGCATGGACAGCAGAGAGCCGAGGGCTCGGCCGACCCCACCGGCCACACTCTGGGGGACCTAACCCGGTCGCAGAGAAGCCAGTGACCGCGTGCCAGGGCGCCAGTCCCCTCAGCAGCCCCTACTCCTGCAGATGCAGCACCACCCCCAAACCCCGACGGAGATCCCCCCAGGAATGCCCACACTGAGCCCACGCCTCACTTGGTCCAGGATGTGAGAATTGGGGATCTCGTTCCTCAGTCTCCACGCCACCCCCACGTGTGACTCTGGGGAGTCAAATCTGGCGTTGGTGGGCGTCCTCACGATCTCGGCCCCCAGGGCCCGCAGGATGTCCACCTGCAGAGGAAGCCACTGCCTTCGTCTACCTGCCAGGCCTGCCACGCAGGGGCGGGGGCTCCCTGGAGATGGCCCCCACCCGCCCCGCCCCGCCCACCTACCTTCTCCATGCTCATCTTCTCCGGCATCACGATAATGCAGCGGTAGCCCTTCACGGAGGCAGCCAGGGCCAGCCCGATCCCTGGGGACAGCACACGGGGTGAGAGGGGGCCACGGCATGCCCAGACCCTGCCCTGCGTGCCTGCAGCCCAGCCTCGAGCCCAGAAGGCCCAGGGAGAGGGCACTGCAGGATTCCAAAAATGCCCCACATCGTCCCCTTCTGCCCTCAAACGACGGAGTAAGGAGAGAGAAGGCTGGAGATAGAAATAGAAAGTCGTGTGCTCAGAGAGGAGAAGCAGAGGGGAAAACGTGAACTCCAATAACTCCAGCTTTCGCTGGGCACCCACGCCATGTCCTGGGCGATGTAGTTGGTGATAATGACCCCAACCACAACAGCAGTAAGAGCCAACACGGTCGAGCTCGCTGTGAACACGCGGGATCCTTCAAGAACAGGGAGAACAACCCTGAGGTCGTTAGAGGTTGGCAAGGCTGCCACTCCCACCACGGGCGTAGAGGGCACAGGCCCGGGGCCTCTCCTGCCTGGTTCCACAGAGGTCAGGGCCACCGTCCAGAGACAGAGCGTCAGGCCCAAGAGGATTATCGACAAGCCTTAAGATCTAATGGAATTTGCCTCGCTAGGTTTCAGACTTGCTTGGCACCCATCACTCCTTCACTTCTGGAATGGGATCGTTCATCCTTCCTGTCCGAGCACTCCGTCTGGAAGCCCATAACTGGTCTGGCGTCACAGGTTCCCAGCTGGAGGGGAATCTACCTCAAGATACCTTATGCCCCAAGTCTCATCCATCTGATTTAGATGAGATCTGGGACTTAGAGTAGACGCTGGAATGGGCTAAGACCTTTTGGGGCTGTTGAGATGGGAGTGACTGTATTCTGCATGAGAGAAGGATGTGAACTTAGGGGGTCCGATGGCAGAGTGTTATGGACTGAACTGTGTCCCCCCAAAATTCACACGCTGGAGTCCTAACCCCCAGCACCTCAGAATGTGACTGCATTTGGAGATGGGGTCTTTGAAGGGGTGATTAAGGTTACATGAGATCACGTGTGCGGGCCCTAGTCCCATATGTCTGGTGTCCTCATAAGAGGAGATCAGGACACAGACACAGAGGGACAGCCACGTGAGGACGCAGGGAGAAGACGGCGTCTACAAGCCAAGGAGAGAGGCCTCAGGAGGAACCAGCCCTCCCACACCTGGATCTTCGCCTCCCAGCCTCCAGACTGTGAAAGCATCCATTTCTCTGGCTGATTAAGCCCCGAGGCTGTGGCAGCTGTCACCTCGTCTCTAGGACACTAAGATAGACTTTCAGTCCCAGGTGTAGCTCCTCGGGAACAGAATCCGACATCATCGACGCAGGCCTGGACGGCAAGATGTCAGGGAAGGCTGGGCTCGTGTGCAGGGGTTGAGGAGACTGCTGAGGAAAGAGGCCGGTGCATGCGGCAGCAGGTCACTCCAGGCCAGGGGACCCTCCTGGCTGGTTCAGCACCCACCTGTGTTCCCAGACGTCGGCTCAATGATCGTGTCTCCGGGCTTCAGAATCCCAGCCTGCTCGGCATCCTCGATCATCCGCAGGCTGATGCGGTCCTTCACGCTCCCGCCCGCGTTGAAGAACTCACACTTGGCCACTGGGAGCCAGAGAGGAATCAGGAGCGAGGGAGAGGCCCCCCGACCCCAGACTTATCCCACTGTCCCTTCCCCATTAACAGCCCAGGATGCAGGGACAGGCTAGGTCTTTCCAGTTCTGTAAATCGCCCCCTCTCCATTCCCACCTCCCACCTGCACCTGGAGGAGGATGCTCACCCCTCGGAGCTTCTCCCACCCACCCATCCCACCCGCCGCGGACCACATGGCAACTCCGAGTGAATGAGACAGAAGCCCCCCAAGGAGCTCCCCACCAGGTGGATGGACCAGACCCCCTCCCATGGGGCAGCACAGTCCCAACAGCGACAGCCTGAAGGGGGTTGCTGATTTGAGCCCCTTAATGCAGGGCAGATGGCCCGGCCATACCCGGAGGCCCCGCCAGATGACTTGGTGTCCTGAAGCCACAGCCCCCAGGTCACACCTCCTGACTGGGACCCGAAAACCTTCCCCATCTCCTCCTATCGCCCTCCTCCCCTGGGAGAAACGCCCAGTGACACAGGGCTCTCCGCGCTCTCCCCAAACCAGCCACTGAGACATCCTCTCCTGCTCTTTCCTTGTGGGAGGACTCTCCCCCACCTCTTAAAAATACGTTGTGTTTGTAAAAGGGGGAGATACTTCCACATGTGATTGGAAGGACCGGGACGGGCCCACAGCAACAGCAAAACCACCTCCCTCCTAGTTTGTCCTGGTTTCTGAAAACCCACCACTAGACAGACTTTATCTTGAGAAGTAGGAGAGGCCTCTGCCGAGACAAGTGTGTGTGTGTGTGTGTGTTAGCACGTGAGGTAGACAGGGGCTGCCTGACTATTCAGCAGGCCTGTGCCCCAGGACCCTTCTAGGTCCTGAACTTGAACCATTTAGATAATTCTAACTTGCCCATGGGAGGGCCAGCATGAAGCAGGGATCTGAGCTGACCAGCCAATGGCCTCAGGCAAGCCACGTAACCAATCTGAGCCTCAGTTTGTCCATCTATAAAATGGAAACACTAAAACATACTTCAGGAGTTACGGCTAAGCTTTGCATCAGGCCATGCCTGCTGGGTCCTAGTTAATGGTCTCTATTATCTGATGAAGAGCACAGAGCAGGCCCTCTGGGCTTTGGGGGTCTCCGGGGGCCATTCCGATGTAGCCTGCGTGCCCCAGCCCTGCCCGGGAGGGTGGGCTGCTCACTGCTTTTTTAGTGAGGTCTTTCCCTGGAAGGTGGAGGCAGGAAGGCTCTGAGGATGATGCCCCAGGAGAATCAGCCATCACGGCGCCATCCGTCCCCAGGGGGTGCCACTCCCAACAAGCCGACCCTCAGGACCCCAAGCCCCACCGCACAATCTTGCTGATCTGTCCCCTCCACTCACTCTGCCCGGCCGCGCTGCACCTGGTCCCCCTCCGGGGCCTCTGCACCTGCCGCTTCCTCTGCGACAAAGCTGAAGACTACTCGGCCCCGTGTCAGGGAAGACACTCCCACCCTCTTGTGTTCCTGGAAACAGCTTCCTGCAAAGAAGCCCCTTCACCACATGACCTAGATAAGACTGGCGGGGGACCCCCTTGTTTTCCTAGGACAAGGCCAGACAGCCCCCCAAACTCCCACTGTTTGTCTCATAAACGACAGAGGAGCTATCTGTCCCCACAAAACTAGCCAAACACAGACATACCACTTCCCGCCCAGCTGACGACCGAGACCCCTCATCTCAGAGACCGTCCCGGTGGTCCCATCACCCCGGCGGGAGCTCTTCTACTCCCCCCCAGAGAAGGCGGAGGTGGAAGGGCTGCGTGCTGCTTCTCGGATCTTGGGGCCTCCCCCTCCTGCAATAGCTGAGTAGGATCAGTGTCCCTCAGGCTCAGGGGACTTCTGCCCAAATGTGCCTCCTGGGTCTAGACACGCTCTCTCCTACACCCGGACCTCAGCGCACAGGTCACCTCGTCCCTCACCACTGACCCCAGAGTGGCCAGCTTAGTCACCCTGTCACATTATCTTCCTGTCTTACTTGATATGGTCTCGGTCCTTCATTAACCAGCTTGTTTCCTGGCCTCTGTGCCCCCGAGAGGGTCTAAGTGGTCCCCTAACCCCCCGGCCCACCGAGCCGCTGCTAGGGACAGATGACGCAGGACGGAGGAATCAGGGTACTCACGGAGCTCACACTTCAGGCCAAAGTTCTTCCCGATCTTGTTGATTCTCACCATGGGAGTATCCCCAATTTTCTTCAGGATATCCGGCAAGATTTTGGGGGATTTTGTCCTAAAACAGAGGAGTCCATGATTATTCAGAAAACAGATCAAAACAGGACCAGCCTTGGCAGTCCAGCACATTGTTTTAAATAAATCAAGAAACAGATCAAAGAATTGGCTTTAATGAGGGATCTGAGTGGTGATGACAAACCTACTCGTGGAAATTAAAAGGCCACAGTCACATTCACACACACGCACGCGAGCATATGAGCACACCTCACAACCTACGGAAACGAACAGTGTCTGTAGTTCAGGCAACAGTCAGCCACACGGATGCCATTCCCTGGGTTTGAAAACACACGATGGTATCGTTAAGACAAGATGGTAACGTAAGACAAAATGGTAACGTAAGACACAATGGTAACGTAAGACGGCATCAATGGGCAGCTGGGTGAAGGGGACACAGGACCTCTCCCATTATTTTTGCCACTTCTTGTGAGTGTTCAACTGTTTCCAAATAAATAAGGGTAAACTAAATAAACACTTAGTTTATTAGTTTAGATATATAGTTTTAGGTTATAGTTTAGACTTCAAAACAACAAGTCCTGGTCCATCCAACTGGGGACCTTCAATTCCTTTCATCTCTCGACTCCTGGGATATCTCCTTTTCTTTTCTTTGATGAGAAAACTCGTGCCGACCCCAGGGTGGAGACCCTCACACTGTGTGCCCACCAGGCAGTGACAGGGGCCTGGCATCACTCAGAAAGTGTCCGGCATGGGCAGTGTGACACATGATACTCGAGACAGAAGAACAAAGACCACGGCGGGTCACGTGGCCCTTGAGGTCAGGGTCAGGACGGATGCTCAGGTGGACCTCCAGGCTCAGAGTGGGCTTTCCTTATCACAGACCCTCTCCCTTCACATTCCAGTGGCTGGTCCCCTCTCCCCAGGTTCTTCCACTCAACACGCTGGTGACAGGTGACAGGTGGGGGTGGGACGGCCGCTGCTCAGCAGCATCTTTCTGTGTGGGTGTGACCGTGACACAGTGTCTCCTGAATGGCCCCACGATGCTTGCTCCTTCCTCATTCTCAGGGACTGGTGCCACACTCTCTCCCCAGGGGTCTGTGTCAAGCATGTGCTCACTGAATATTCATCCGGGAAGATGCACAGCTGACTTGAGTTTCAAGACATGCAACAGCTTCTCATGTCCTTGGAGTTCTCAGTTACCTTTCCACGGGTCTCAAACTCGAGTGAGCCCCAGACACCGGTGCAGGAACCCGTTAAACTCGCAGACTCCTTGCCCCACCCCTAAGGTGGTGCCCCAGCTCCCCAGGGGGCCTGGGGCAGCTAAGGAAGTCTGCATTCCACCCGCAGCCCAAACAGCAGCTAGACCCACGGCTGGAATCCACTGCGCCCTTCCAAGGTGGCGAGGAGCTACAACGGACACCCCAAGCCACACCGGAGCAGGCTCCTCAAAGATGGTGCAGGAGGGGGCCGGCCCCGTGGCTTAGTGGTTAAGTGTGCGCACTCCACTGCTGGCGGCCCGGGTTCGGATCCCGGGCGCGCACTGACACACCGCTTCTCCGGCCATGCTGAGGCCGTGTCCCACATACAGCAACTAGAAGGATGTGCAACTATGACATACAACTATCTACTGGGGCTTTGGGGGAAAACAAATAAACAAAAAAAAAAAAAAAAAAAAGATGGTGCAGGAGGGATGGTGGGGTGAAGGGAGAACCTCGGGGGGCAAAGGGCTCCTGACCCGAGCCCCGGAGGGAGGCCAGGCCCTCTGGGGGACACTGGGGATTGATTCATTACCTAGTTAAAGCCAAGGCAGGACACCTGTGGGGGAGGAACAGGAGGGCTGGTGGGTAGCTGAGTTATCCCGTCCCCACCAGGGCTGGCGGGGAGCTCTGGGTTCCCGACTCAGCACCGGGCCTTGGAGGGTAGAGTCCCCGAGAAGCCTGCCTGAGGTGCTCAGGGCAGAAGCCCCAGGAAAGAACCTACCTCAATTGCTTTTACTTTGACAGCCCAGGACGATAACCCCACAGCATCTTAGAAGAAACCCCAAACTCCTTACCAGGGACGGGGCCCTGCCTGCTCCTCCCTCCCCTCAGTCCCTCCTCTCTGCTCTTCTCACTCTGGTCCTCTTTCTAAGCCCACCCTCCCTCGGAACCGTCTGGAATCCCCTTCCCCCAGTATCACGTGGCCAGCACCTTGTGCCTATCCAGGTACCAGTTCCAGGGCCGTCCCCAAGCTGCCTCGCCAGGGCACCCTCTGTGTCATCACCCTAATGCTCTCACCATCAGGGTCCCCTAGGCCATCTCCTTCAGGGGACCTCGGTCTAGTGTCCTCCTCGCAGGTGAGCCCAACTCCCTCATAACCGTGTGCCTGAACTGAGACAAGCGGTTCCCAGATGGGACGGCCACCCCTTCAGAGCTTTCTAGAGGGCTAATTCGGCCACCCTGTGAAGGGCAGGTGTGATGCTTTTTTCACGACTTGGACAGGATAGCGTCCTTTCCAGCCCAGGCCCAAGGGTTAGAAGCTCAGGGAGCCCTGGGGAGTCCGGGTCTCTCTTTCCCACCCGCCCCGACCCCAGCAGCCACGCCCCAGCCTCACGCAGGCTTTCCGCCCACTGGTCTGGTTTGTCTTGGCAGCGAGGGCTCATCCTGCCCAGCCGGCGGCCAACTTGACCTCCTGAGCTCCTGGCACTGAGACGTGTTTAATGTTGCGAGCGTCTGGATTTGTACATTTTCATTTTCATCTGTTGGCCCCACTGAGGAGCGCACCGCCCCCCCAACCCCCAGCTCTGACGTTAAAATCAATAACCATAAACTCTTATACGGAATAAGAATCAAACATCTCAAGTCATGTTCTTTGACTCGTTTGTTCTACTTCTGTCTGGGAGATTATACTAAGGAAATAATGATAATCCTAAGATATAGTGAGTGAAGTTTGAGTTTTGCAAAGGCTCAGGGATTCGTGTCCCCACCCCCATAGATCCTACACCTGGAACGTGGCACAGGCATGGCAGGTGATCAATAAAGTCGTCGCCGTACCGACGACACGGATGCGGTGTTTCTTACTGCGGTTGTTCATAACGAGATAATTGCAAACATCTCAAAACCCAACAGGCGGCTTAAAAATTATGGTTTATTCATCCCACAGTCTCTGTCCAAGCACAAAAAGAGCCCACCATAGAAAAATACCTCACGACCAGGAGAATGTTGGCAACCTAGAGTTACGTAGAAAAGTGTAGGCATGATGCTAATGACTGAAAATACGTACACTCACCTCAAACACGAGTGTGCAGCCAGACGGGTCTGGATTAGAAACCTCACCTCTACCCGTCACTCAAAGCATGTGACCTGGGCACAGACCTGGGTGCTAGCTACAGGCACACAAGCCTTGGCCTCTCTGAGCCTTGGTCAATTCATCTATAAAGTGCCACCCGCCTGCTCACCACCCATCCAGAGTGATTACAAACGGGGTCACACCCAAGGTCCGCCTGGCTATGTGGCCTCCAGGTAACAAACTCTTCCTTCCAGGTAATGCAGGGACCATCTGGGGATTGTGACCGGGGACTTACAAGGCAGTGTGGTGATGCGGAGAGTCGGTGATGGGTCTGCCCAGCTGCCAGGTACACCTGCTCGGAGCATCGGGGCGGATCCACAGGCACTCCTGGGCTTCCTTGTCTTCCGGGGACCCCTCTGCCAGGCTTCCTTTCCCCAAGGGTGCCCCTGAGAGATGCGGGCACTCTGCAGACCCTTCTTCTGCTTGGGGTATCTCGGAAGGCATGCTGGGATCTGTCAAAGGGAGGGGGAAGAGATGGTTTAGGCCGTTTCCAAACAGTTCCGAAGAGCCTGCTTCGATGTGGTTGGATCCAGGGAATTCTGCTCAGCTGGCCCCTCTGGGTGTGGGGCTCCACTCTCAAGGAGCTCAGCAAGAACAGGCATAAAAACGCAGGCAGCAGCTGCCACGGAAAAGAGTTTAGTGGTTTCTCAAAAGGTTAAACGCAGAACTCCCGTGTGACCCAGCAATTCCACTCCTAGGCATATATTAAAAAAAACGGAACGGATATTTGCACGCCATGTTCATAGCAGCACTATTCACAATAGGCAAAATGTGGAAACAAGCCATGTCTCCACCAATGGATGAAGAAAATGCGGTATATCTACACACTGGAATATTATTCAGCCATAAAAAAAGAAATGAAGTTTTTTTTTTTTAAAGATTTTATTTATTTATTTTTTCCCCCAAAGCCCCAGCAGATAGTTGTACGTCATAGCTGCACATCCTTCTAGTTGCTGTATGTGGGATGCGGCCTCAGCATGGCCGGAGAAGCGGTGCGTCGGTGCACGCCCGGGATCTGAACCCGGGCCGCCAGCAGCAGAGTGCGTGCACTTAACCGCTAAGCCACCGGGCCGGCCCAGAAATGAAGTTTTAAAATCTTCTTAACATGCATGTGCATGTGTGAGTGTGTGGGCATACGTGCATGCACACGTGCACACACACACACAGATGACTACACAGAGGTGATGGATATGTTATCTAGTTTGATTGTAGCGATCTTTTCACAACATATACATAAATCTAAACCAAGCTGTACACCTTAAATACATACCAGTTTTTTGTTGTTGTTGTTGTTGAGGAAGATCAGCCCCGAGCTAACATCTGTTGCCAATCCTCCTCTTTTTGCTGAGGAAGATTGGCCCTGGGCTAACATCCGTGCCCATCTTCCTCTACTTTATATGTGGGCCACCTGCCACAGCATGGCTTGATGAGCAGTGTGTAGGTCCGCACCAGGGATTCAAACCCACAACCCCGGGGCTGCCAAAGCAGAGCATGGGAACTTAACCACTATGCCACCAGGCTGGCTCCAAATACATACCATTTTTATATGTTAAAGCTATCTCAATAAAGTTGTTTTAAAAAGACTACATTGATATGATGGAAACAATAAGAGGAAAATGGAGATAATAATAAATATATTTTTTATCTTAAAAAAAAGGAATGAAGTTTTGATATATGCTACAGCATGGATGGACCTTGAAAATGTTCTGCTTAGTGAAATAAGCCAGACCCAGAAGGACAAATAGTGTATGATTCCACCTAGATGAGGTCCCTAGAGTCGGTACCTAAAATTCACAAAGTAGAATCGAGATTACCGGGGGCTAGTGGAGGGGTAGTCATTGCTGAATGGGTACAGGTTTTGTTAGAGGTGATGAAAAAGTTTTGGGTACAGATAATGGTGATGCTTGCACATTGTGAATGTATTTAATGCTACTGAAGTGTACACTTACATATGGTTAAAAGGATAAATTGTGTTACCCATATTTTAATCACAATTAAAAAAAAAAATCACATGTAACCTTAAAATAGATGAGACGAGAAACAAATCAAAAGAAGGAAAGAAAAGGTGACCCCACACTCAAAGACGAGGCCCCATCGGGCTGCAGCCCTGCCCGCTCCTTCCGGTCAGGACTGAACAGATGCCCGCCCCCATCTTCAGAAAGACCAGGACTGAATTCAGCCCCTCTTCTGCTCCCTTTGATTCTCACACTGGACAGGAAGACAAGTCCACAGCTAAATGCAGCCACCACTCACCAGATTGATGACTGCAAATTCACCCCAGTTTAGACTCTGTAAGGAGACGTGACACCTAAATGTAATTAGGTCTCCTGGATGAAATCCTGGAACAGGAGGAGGTTAAAGGAAACCAAGGAAATCTGAGTAAGGATGGACTTGAGTTAACCTAAAGGAGCTCATGGTACTGCATGTGGATGAGGGTGGTCTCTGATCACACCACCACCGCTGTTCCCAGAAGCAGGAGGGACCCCAGACCCCAGCCTTGTGCCTCCTCTGCTCCCCAAGACACTTCGGGAGGCAGTTTTGCTGTGAAAAGGTCGAGTGGCCCAGGTGGAACTGAGCTGAAGGTGCCAGGGCTCCTCACCTGCAGCTGTAAATAGAGGCTGGTGGACCTGCTCCCTTTCTTCCACCCACCGGCCCAGCCCCGGGTATGCCGGCCATCAGCAAAGATGGAGGCAGCCCCCAGCTGCTCCCTTTCTTCCAATGCAGGTGACCAGATGCAGACCAGCGCCCAGCAGATCGCCACAGATGCCCAGGCCAGAGCCTGTGCAGAAGGGAGGCAGAGACCGCCCTACCCCTTTGAAATTCACATCCCTTTGAAATTCACCAGGCTTTCCGGAGGGAATCCAGCCTCCCAGCCTTTCTGCCCCAAACGTCCCTAGAGCGGGGGTTCTTTCAAGTCTTGGGATCACCGACTTCTTTTTCAGAGGTTCGAGTAGTCCACGAAGCCAGCACGGATGTCCCGCGTCCTTCTTCCCCAACCTTTTAAAAAGCCCCGCCCTAAGCGGAACGGCGACGTCTCTCCGCGGTGCGCCCGAGTCGCCTGCAGGGAACTGAGTCTTCCACCTTGCAGAAGCCCCTCTGTAGTAGACCCCCCATCCCCATCAGAGGCCGACAGCCCGGCTGCACCCAGGCCGGGTGAGCGCGCGCTCGGCCGCCCGCCTGGCCAGAATGCCGCGCAGCCCCGGCCCAGAGACGCAGGCAGCCGCGCGCCTCCTTTTTGGCGACTTGCCTCGCCTGGCGCAACCTCCGGCAAGGTAGGGGGCCGCTGGGAACACAGATCGCAGGCGACCCACTCTCCGAAGAACTCAAAGGCACTCGGTGGGACGCCCACTTGGCGACCCGAGTCCGAACCCACGGGCTCTGGCCCGGCCGGCCCGGTCCGGCTGCCCACGGCCACAGCGCCCGGCGGCCCGACGCACATGCGTCCCGGGGAGGCGGGCTCACCTGGAGCCGCCCGGCTGGCTCCTGCCGCACCTTAAACCGCCAGACCCTCCCGGGGTCACGACGCCCCCAAGGGCACGCTGCACCCGTCGGCCCAGAGGGCGAGAGCTAGGGCCAAGGGTGAGGACGGTACCACTCCTCTTTTAAAGTGGGAGGTCCCCGGTGGGAGATCGAGACCCTACAGTGGATCTGGACACCGCTGGGTCACCTGCACTCCTTGGGAGGCTGAAAGTGTTGCGCTCCCGTCCCTCCCCCACTTGCCCATCCCATTCCCCAGCTCAGCCATCCGCCTCACCTAGGGTTCGGAGAAGTGGGGGTCGCAGGGCACCCTCCCTCCAGCCCCTGAGCCCTGAACCCCCCCCTCGTCCTCACGGGCACCCACCTCGCGTGCCGCCCGCGCAACTCCGTCAATATTTTCCCCGCCCCTTACGATCAATGGAAAAAAGTAATTTGCGAAACAGCCATTTCCCATCCAAAATGCAGCGAGAAATCAATGATTGGCACCATTACGGCCAGTCTACCATACGTTCCCTCCCAGAGTCCCAGCTCGACGCTCACAGCTCGCGGCCCGCCCGGTCCGCTCCGCAGCCGCGGGAGTTGGAGGGGGCCCGGGGCCAAGTGGACGTGAACCCCCGGCTTCAGGACCGTGGGAAGACTCTTGGGAGGCGGAGGGTCCGGGGCGCGGGGGCGCCGGCCCAGCTCCGCCGCGTCCAGAGGCGGATGATGCAACTCGGGCGGAGGGGTGGGGCGACCCAGGACCCCCGGCCGGACCCCAGCCCGACCGCTCTGCCCAGGATGGAGAGGGGCTCGGCCGGGCGGGTGCTCACCTGGACGGACACGCGGGAAAGGGGCGGGCTGGGCGCGTCCAGGCGCGGCGAGCGGGGCCACGACGGCTGCCGGCGGAGACGAGACGCCGGAGCACGCCGGCCTGGCGGGGACCCAGCGGCGGAGAGC